TGTGACATGATTTTGTTTAATTTTCTTAAAAACAGTTCGAGAAAAATTAGAATTAGGTAGGTATTATTAATTAGGTACTGGATTTTTATATAAATTAACTAACTTTTTTTTAAAAATTGTGAATTTATTATCGAGAAATTGCAAATAGAAATCCGAAAAGTACTTATACTTATCGTTAGTAATTCTTCTGTGCAAATTTTATTAGTTAACGATGGATTTTTATTCGATCAATAAAAGCTTGATACAATTCTTGCATTTAAGCCTCTTATTAAAAAGAATAATGTAAAAAAATATTAGCTCTACTTGATGTGAGAGTCGCCTAAAAAATGTGTACACCTAGGCCGTATGATAATTTTTATCCTAACCAGCAGTTGCAAATTTATGATTCGGCCAAAAAAGATCAACTTTTTTACACTACACAAATAACTATTTTGGACGGTTAAAATAAATGTACTTATTTCTGTTGCCTACCAATATACATTGAGAACAAAGTAGAGAAAGATAATGAATCATTGGAATACTGTATATTTCGTACAGAGTTAGATCATGTTATTTTTAAATATTATTTTCGTGGTATACGAATGTCAAAAAGCATCGTATAATCAATACGCCCGGTAGTCACTCCTTTTACTTTCCTATCTGTATACAGATAAGGAAAGTATAGGAATCATGATTTTTTTCGACCTCCAGTTTTCGACGGATTTTTACGTTTTGGGGTCTCCTGAATCCGTTTTGACTATTTTCGGGATGATGTCTATTTTCTATAGATATTCATTGAAAACGAAAATACTGAAAAATTTAAATTTTGCACTTTTCCATTACGGTCCATTTTATAAAAATCATGTATAAACAAAAATTATAGTGATCGATATCGCAAACAACTTTTAGTTCAACAATTTTCATAAAAATCAGAATTTTGCACATTTTGTCAAATTTCTCGAATACGGACCATTTCAGGAAATTTTGACATAAAACAAAAATTATAGATAATAATATTAGAAGTAACTTTTATTCGAACAATTTTCTTCTCCAAACATAAATAACAGATATATTCCATACACTATAAAAACGGCCTCCCATAAAGTACCCCCCTAGATGTTCCGACTTTGTCCAAAATCTAATAATTTCACGTCAGGCCGAAATAAACCTTAAGTTTAAAATTTAATGATTTTTTCTTTATCCGCTTTTGAGTTTTCTTCAAAATTCGAAATTTACACATTTTCTCTCGAATACGGTCCATTTTAAAAAAATTATGTATAGAATAAAAATTATAGAGAATTATATTACAAACAACTTTTATTTGAACAATTTTTATAAAAAAATATTTTTTTACATTTTGTCAAATTTCTCGAATACGGACCATTTCAGGAAATTTTGACATAAAACAAAAATTATAGATAATAATATTAAAAGTAACTTTTATTCGAACAATTTTCTTCTCTAAACATAAATAACAGATATATTCCATAAAATATAAAAACGGCCTCCCATAAAGTACCCCCCTAGATGTTCCGACTTTGTCCAAAATCTAATAATTTCACGTGAGGCCGAAATAAACCTTAAGTTTAAAATTTAATGATTTTTTCTTTATCCGCTTTTGAGTTTTCTTCAAAATTCGAAATTTACACATTTTCTCAAATATCTCGAATACGGTCCATTTTAAAAAAATTATGTATAGAATAAAAATTATAGAGAATTATATTACAAACAACTTTTATTTGAACAATTTTTATGAAAAATTATTTTTTTTACATTTTGTCAAATTTCTCGAATACGGACCATTTTAGGAAAATTTTGTATAAAACAAAAATTATAGATAATTATATTAGAAGTAACTTTTATTTGAAGAATTTTCTTCTCCAAACGTAAATAACAGATATATTCTATAAAATATAAAAATGACCACCTATAAAGTACCCCCCTAGATGTTCCGACTCTGCCCAAAATCTAATCAGTTCATTAGACGCTGGAATAAAGCTTAAGTTTAAAATTTGGTCTTTTTCTGTGTATCGGTTCATGAGTTATGCGACATACAGACACATACACAGACACACACACACACAGACATCATCGCGAAAATAGTCAAAACGGATTCAGGGGACCTCAAAACGTAAAAATCCGTCGAAAACTCGAGGTCGAAAAAAATCATGATTCCTATACTTTCCTTATATCTGTATACAGATAGGAAAGTAAAAATTGTTCAAATAAAAGTTGTTTGTAATATAATTCTCTATAATTTTTATCCCATACATAATTTCTCTAAAATGGACCGTATTCGAGATATTTGAGAAAATGTGTAAATTTCGCATTTGGAAGAAAACTCAAAAACATATGGGGGGTACTTTATGGGAGGCCGTTTTTATATTTTATGAAATATATCTGTTATTGATGTTTGGAGAAGAAAATTGTTCAGATAAAAATTACTTACAATATTATTATCTATAATTTTGGATCTATACAATTTTTTTTAAATGGCCCGTATTCGAGAAATTTGACAAAATGTAATAATAATAAATTTTTAGGAAAATTGTTTAAATAAAAGTTATTTGTGATTTCGATCTCTATAATTTTTGTTTTTTATATGATTTTTCTAAAATGGACCGTATTGGAAAAATTGAAGGAAAGTGATAAAATTAAATTTTTCAGTATTTTCGTTTTCAATGAATATCTATAGAAAAATGTTTCGAGTTAGATGTATGTGGAAAATGTATATATTTAGTTTATCCTCTAAACATTTATAGAGGTGCTGCAATAGGTTGTACAAAATAACTGAAAAAAGCCTATAATAACTAGATAGGAAAGTCATGTGTTGGACACATCAGATTTTTAAAAATATATTGAGATATAAAAAAATATAGTAATTTTTTTTGGAGCATCTTCAAAATATCCTATTAATATTATCATGTAAAACCTAATGCTTGTCGTAATTAAAAAATACACCAGTCTTTTACATTGGCCTGACATATAGTGTTAAAGTTAAAGCCTCAGTCCCCTTCCATTTCTAAATTCCGTTATTTTTAAAACAAAGATGCATTTTAATAAAATATTTTTGTGCCAATACTATTTCTATTCCTACGAAAAAAATAAGACATATCAGGATTTATAATATGTATCGGCATCACTGCAATATATCCATCGTGTCCACAAAATGCGTTCCCTCTACGAGTCAGTAGCAGAAACTTCCGTCCAAATTAGGGAAAATAGTTTTGAGAACGTTTTTAGTTTATCGCTGTTATGACGGGTTCGAATATAAGATATGTAACGGTTCCCACTCGCCGAGGAGGTCGTATTAAACTGCCGCCTTAACTCATGTCAGAAGTAAATTCCTTTTGAAAAATATTTACACAGTGAACAAATATGAAAACAGAAAATCGTTAACCTCTCAAAACTGTCCTCAGGTCAGATAGGACGTTTCAATTTAATCAAGTCAAAAACAATGAACAAATTTAAAATAATTTAAAATGTTGAATAGATAAATAAAACCCCTTTCAAACGAGCTATCAGTCGACCCGTGTTGCCATTTAAAATTTTACAGAAAATAAAAATCGACATTTCCTAGAATGTTTTATCCACAGGAGAAGGCGAAGGGACACTATTGGTCTAAACCTGCAATTATATTTGTTGATAGTCGAATCGCTAAAGTTCCCTTATCTCATTAAAAGAAACTTGACAAGCTTATCCCCTGTACGAGTACTACCCACGTGACTGTTACAAATTTAATTTTATATCAGCTGGTTTTTCCATGAATCAACTTCGTAGAATTAAAATGAATATTTCCAATGTCTGTTATCGTTTGAATAATAAATAATAGCTAATAGAACGGCTACAATATTATTCTAATCCAAACAAACAAAAAAAAAATATTGGTATAAATGTAACACTTCAAAATCAAAACATAAAATTATAAACTTTTTTTAATACTCAACATAATTACAGATAAACAATATGGTTTAATTCAAGGTTCAAACACCGAAAATAAGTGTCGTAGCAGATTTCTAAACGAGACAATAATAACTCTAGACAGACAATAGACAAATCATCAAAATGCGGTGCAATTTTCCTTGCTCTCCTAGGCTTTTAATACCGTCTTACATAAAATTTTAATTGAAAAGCTAGACAACTACGTAATTCGAGCCATTCGAGGTACATCATTAAATTTATTTTAAAATTACCTTGAAAATTGAGTTCAAATAGTAAAAAATAGAAAATGCTCCAAGTTTGAAAAAAAAGTAAAAACAGGAGTCGCACAGGGAACAGTATTAGGTCCAATACTATTTCTAATATACATAAATAGCATAGTCAAAACACAAAATCTCACTTACAGTTTCATATGTTATGCTGAAAAAGTCCCATAGAAAGTTAAAGATTGCGACAGAAAGTGACTTAATTAGACAAAATTCAAATTATTTGAATAAACCAAGACCTACTCTAAAAAACTAAATTTATGGCTTTCACTCCTCCAATTACTACACTATCACCACCTAATTTTCACTTAAAGTTGTAATAAACAAGATGTTTATGTCTAAAATTAGAAAAAGTATTGTCCATCAAATATTTAGGTATAATCAGAGATCAGCATATACGTTGGACAAACATACCACAAATGTAAAAATATATGTCATCTTCAAATTGTAATGTGTCCGAATATATTAATCATAATAAATATTTCTTTTAAATTCTCATATAAATCGGCGAATGTCTAGTTCGAATCCTTCTCGATTTTACGAAAAATACTTCGTGTATATTCGTAAAAGTTATTTGCCTATTTTCAAACATTTTTAAAATAGATTTAAATTTTCTGTTTGTCACCACTCCGTACTTCATACATTTCTAGCACATTTTTTAAATAAATCTTAACACCGAATGAATTGGTTTTTATATTTGTTAAATTATTTTTGACTACCTAAGCACACAGTCACAAAAATTAAACTGCCTACCTACCCTCTTGATAAATTGACCCTTAACAAATATAAATATTACCTAAGTATAAAGGTACTTACCTTTTATAAAACTCAACACTTTTTCGGTGACTGTCGCCTCCATAATTTTCAAAATCAGTCAAAAAACAAATAACTACTAGAAACTAAACTATATAATTAAAAACCGGACCGTATTTGACTATTTCGAACTGAAAACGTTAACTTCTTTTCTTTTATTCTTAGCCACGATTTCTCCTTTCAACTAACCATTCATGGGTTTCTACGTAATGTCAGTACCGGCTTTATCAATGGTACCGTGATGGTACCTCAGCCAACGATACGCGAGTCGTGAGTGACTCTATGAGGTTGAGGTTGGTTCGTAAAACCATGTGTACCGAATCTGCGTTTCAAGAGGATATAGACAGGTGGCTTAGAACACAATATTAAAAAATACGTTTTTAAACAGATATATAATTTATTTTTTAACAAACATCGAGGGACATAAACAGTTTAATACGAAACCAAGCCTTTTTGTTTCACAATGTGCAGGTGTATTCGAAATATTAATATTTATTTGGTTTAACAAAATTAGTAGGATAACAAAAAGAAGAGTTTTTACAGAATTAAAAATTATCAGTGGCGTTACATTAAAAATTTAAAATCGTCTGTTTTATTATTTACAGAATATTTGTTAATATATAACATCTCAAGAATTAAAATTACCAGTGGCGTTACAATAAAAATTTAAAATCGTCTGTTTTATTGTTTACATATTTTTTTTGTGTGTGTCAACTACTAAGGTTATTTCGCCTCGTGTTCTATGTAGGCTTTGTTACTGTTTCCCAGTGCCACTTTAGGAACAGCATTGTTAATTAGAACCCAACAGTGAATGGTCGAGTGGGAAATCCTACCAAGGCATCAGAATTAATGTTAAATAATTAAATTAAATCAAAAAATCCCGGCCAACGGTGGGATTCGAACCTGGGAAAAAAATCTACTACGGTCAGGATTATCCTCTTTCAATATAATTTATTATAATCACTAGGGTATAAAACGGACAATCAATAAAAAATGTTGAGCCTAAATATGTTTCAAAGGGAGATTAAATTAATATGTTTCAGTGGGAAGACCATTGGACATATATGAGTAACAAACAAATTTCATCTCGGAAGTCGAATATCTCGTGATGCCATAATGTTTTACCATTTTTAGAAGAGCAATTTTATTAAAATCATTTGTAAAGATGAAACAAAAAGCATAAAATGATATCAATGATCGGAAGACCTCTTTTCGTACACTTTCTTAATAAATTCCTGTTGTGTATAGTCTGGTGCACTTAAAACACATTTATTAACGTAAAAATCTGATGTGTCCAAATGACTTTCCTATCTAGTTATTATAGGCTTTTTCCGGTTATTTTGTACAACCTATTGCAGCACCTCTATAAATGTTTAGAAGATAAACTAAATATATACATTTTCCACATACATCTAACTCAAAACATTTTTCTATAGATATTCATTGAAAACGAAAATATTGAAACATTTAAATTTAGCACTTTTCCTCCAATTTTTTCATTACGGTCCATTTTAGAAAAATTTTCTTAAAAATCAAAATTATGCGCATTTTGTCAAATTTCTCGAATACGGACCTTTGGCATAAAGAAAAAATTATAGATATAATATTAGAAGTAACTTCTATTTGAACAATTTTCTTCTCCAAACATAAATAACAGATATATTCCATAAAATATAAAAACGACCTCCTATAAGTACCCCCCAGATGTTCCAACCTTGTCCAAAATCTAATCAGTTCACCTCAGGCCGGTTTTAAGTTTTCTTCAAAATTCGCAATTTACACATTTTCTCAAATATCTCGAATACGGTTTAGAGAAATTATGTATAAGATAAAAATTATAGAGAATTATATTACAAATAACTTTTATTTGAACAATTTTTATAAAAAAATATTTTTTTTTACATTTTGTCCATTTTCTCGAATATGGATCATTTTAGGAAAATTTTGTTAATTAAATTAATTATTAATTAAATTAATTAATAAGTAAATTAATTATTAATTAAGTTGATTGTTAATTGAATAAAATATTCATTAAATTAAATATTAAATAAATTAAATATTAATCATTAATTAAATGAATTGTTAATTAATATATTTGTTAATTAAATTGTCTGTTAATTAAATTGATTGTTCATTACATTGATTTTAATTAAATTAAATGTTAATTAATTTGATTGTTAACATAATTGATTGTTAATTAAATAGATTGTTAAAATTTGTTTTTGTTGATAGTAATAATATATGATTCTATATTAGACATAAAAGTCTTTTACATTCTGATTTAATTTATATTGTCTTGGACCAAACTTGTTGTTTTGACACTCAATAACTATCATGTAAAAGACAAATTTTAATAACAGTTTCTGAAAATAGTATATTTAGCTACCAGACATATAAACAGAGGGATCTAAAAAGAAGTTGTCTAAATATGTCTTAAGCGCCCGTACCAAGGTACTGATAAAGTGGAAGTCAGAAATACGCACAGAGGCCAGAGATTCTATCTACACGGTTCAACTCTCGGCTTATACGAAAGCTGTTTTCAGTAGATTCAGAGGGCGGAAATCGACAAACGTAATCAGGATATTTATTGCATCAAAGACCGTGTAAACATTTTCAGCATGTTCGAATAATTACTGAAATCTCGAAAACGCATAACATCTATCAATTCGGCGAACTAATAATAATAACAGTTTTTAATTGTTAGACCAAAAAGATCAAAATAGAATGCGTTAAAATTTTTATATTCGTATTTAGACGTTTAATAGTATAATTATTAACAGCCCCGGATCTAGGGGGGGGGGGGCAAGCCGGACCCCGTGCCCCGGGCGGCAAAAAGTAAAATATTTTTTTTCATAAATAGGGTTTTAAAATCAATTCATAGATAATCAAAATTTATTTGAATTCTATCTGTGCAAAACAGAGCAAGTGTTTATTGGGTCTTATAACCTGCCTAATCCATAATCGGATAAGTTTTCAATTGTCCAAAACGTTGAGTGATTTTAAAACGGTATTATTAACTTTAAAAATTCCCAAAATTAAATACCTGTTATGCATATTAGGCACCTTTCTTGCTTTGGGGAAAACAAATATCTGATTTGTGGAAAGCAGTTAACTACCTGCAATTAGGATACTATATAAAGGAATAAAGCTACAATAATAAATTTATTGTGCTTTTCATTTTTTAAAAATTTTCTTCTTGCAGTTATTGGTACTTTGTGTTTACTGAAAGTGTTTTATTATCTATATATTTTTGTGGATGTTATCTGTGTTTATTGTTTTTATTATTATATCTCATATATAAATAGTGAGAAATAAAAAAAGGTAAGAAAAAAGAAAAAATTAATTAGACTTATCTGGCTAACAAGCATTTTCATCTGTTTTATAATAAATTTCTATTATTCTAAACCTAATTAGCGTCATTTCTTAAAAATTGAATTTTAAAACGTTTGTTTTCCGTAATAGTCCAGTAACTAAAGGGACCAACCTGTCATTAAGTCGGTCCAGATTTCCGTTGTGGCTCAACTCTTAGGTCTCGGCAGTCGCTTCCAAGGTCGAAAACTTTTACCAAATCTGCTGCGTCGGAAAGGGCCCAAAATGGACCCTAAAACTGGCTTCCCGCCAATATCTTCCACAATATGCAAATTAGAGAATTTTTGTTTAGATAAAAAAGAAAGATCTTATCATTATCTACAAAAATGGTCCCTATCATTTTTGTCGGGAATTCGACAGGTTTCGAGATAACCGCAATCAAAAGTCCCTCGTTCAGCCCCTCCTTTATCTCTATAGCAATGCTGATTAGCTTGTAAACGGGTGGACAAATTGTTTCAGAACTCGGTCAAAAATTGATATTTTTCGATGATTCAAAGTTCATTACAATGGGAAAACCCATAGGTATCGATCCATGTGCCTTGAAGCCCGTTATTTTCTGTCAAGAACATTGAAAAAGGGGTCAAAGTTGTGTTTTCCTACTATTTTGGACCGCTTTATAGTAATTCATTCATATTTTTTTCTTTTAATAGTTTTTTATCCCATTTTTATTTTAAATGGGATCTTGAGATGTATCGAATGATCTCAGAAATTTTTTTCCAGTATCTTCCTGGCGTTTTAAAACAAAATTGATTTGTTTATTTGCATTTTTCTTATGTTTTCGGAGTTCTAGAAATCTTTGAAACAAGCAGTAATTAAAAACTCATATTTCATTATATTGTTATTCAATGCACACCATTTTAAAGCTTAGAGTGTCTACTTTTTGAATGTATTTTTTTTTAATAAAGTTGCTCCATTTTCAAAAAATCGGGAAAATTGATCACACCGGGGAAAACCGGACTTTTCTTTTAATACTTCTTGTTCCCCGCTGTTAATTTTTTGAACATTAATACCCAGACCAAAGTGAAGCTGATATTCTCACCTTTCCATTTCTATCAATTGAACCCCGTATGTGAGCGTGGTTCTTAACTGTTTGTTAGAATTATCTCCCCCATTTTTACGCTTTCCGCCTGAGATCTATGATATTCCATCATAACCTAACCACGTGTACCCACGCGCCACGCGCTCACCTTAATCGTCTGCTTTTGTTGGTATGCAATCTCTGTTGTTTTTGGAGTCGTTATTGTCGGTTGTTATATATTTCTTTCTTATATTTAAAGAAAATTCACAATTCTGGGTTCGAATAGTACAATAATAAACAATGATTACTTTTCTTTTCTATATTTAACACAAATGAGTTAAAGTGGAATATATATCGAAGATTTGGGGTTGAGGTAAGTCTTTTGTTGCTATATCTATCATATAATTATTTCTACTAATGTTATTCTTTTTTTTTAGGTTAAAACAAACATAAAATAGAATCCACCACCTTAAATCCGCCCCGCGAGAGATTCAAAAAATTCAAATAAAGCGCAAAAAAATTATAGAGTTAGCACGCATAGTTTATTTGTAATTGTAATAAGCGTACATAGTAGACCGCCACTGTATTCTTCAACTCATGATGACCTAAAATGGATAAATAATATTATTAAGCGTACGCAGTGAAACGCTACAGATTGTGTCAGAAATAGTCGTTAGAAAGAAACAAACAGATAAACATTCGGGAAGCCGTCCAATGCGCTTGAAGCGCTCTCGTACGATCCAGGGTATTCCAGTTGCTTATTGGGGGTAATACAGGGTGTCCCAATGAAAAGTAGCCCATTTTCAGAGCTTATAACTTTTACACAAATCGTAAAAACGTGCGGTTTTTGCTGATATGTGTTATTTTGCTATAAATTTTGCTTCAGTGACACAGAAATTATGTATTGCCTATACAGGGTGTTTTTTGAAAATCTCCTCTTTTAAATTCACCGTAACCAAATTTTATCAAATGGAAACGGACTACTTTTCATTGGGACACCCTGTATATAAACCGCTCAGCGCGCGTCGCCTCATTACTTCTTAACAACTGATAAAGGTTGCATAATCAC